TGGCGACTCTGAAATAAACAAACAAATCCCGTTTCGATTGTCCTTTAATTGGAAAAGCTCCTTGTACCCTCGCGGGGGGGCGGAAAAAGGAGGTGTGACACTCATACTACTCTTTTGTGCATTTTTTTTGTATAGATCCAGGTAATTGATCGTTAGTGGTTGTACGGATCGTTGCGGTGGAGACTCAAAGTAAACTTGTTGCAGCGTTTGCAGGCCTCAGAGTCACCTTCAATTGTACTTATTTCCATATGTTCCCTTGTTTCGGAACAGTGATGTATTTATTTTGTATAACTACTCCTAGAAAAGCTTATGACTTGTACTACCGATTTTGGGAATTGTAATTTATTCAGAGTAATTTAATTTAAAGTTAGTAAATATCCATGTTATTGCAGAAAATATTAGGCTTACCTAGTTTAGACGACTCCTTTAGAGGGATTTTGGGCCGTGACACTTAATCTCCCTAACTTGAGGAACCCCCAATTTGAGGCTTTAAAAATGTAAAAGTTAGACTCTTATATGGTTTTTATCCATATTTGACCCGTTTTTAAAAAGTCCATTATCCAACCTATTTTCTAGCAAATAATATGGGTGATTAACTGATTTCTTTTAACCATTTTGTCACCCCTAGGTGTGAGTTCAATTCTTAGTGTTTTTCTTTTTTTTTTGTTTCCCTTTCCCGTTCCCACAAATTAATTGCAAGAATCTGCGGACATAATTTCTTTCCACTTGGATGATAATGGTCTCAAAATCAATCTCATGGAATTTCTCCTGATTTTTCTTACCTGAGCTTTGCTGTACAAATATTTTTGATTCTCTACTCTAGGGTCTAGGCCTAGGTTCGCATTAGGGGCCTTCTTATTTCTGCTCTGAATTCGGCAATTAATGCGATTAACCGTATATTTCTTAAGCTAAACTTTGTTCTTTACTTAAATTTAAACTAAATTGACCAGAATTTGTCATTTGTAAAGTGAAACGAACACGTAGATTCTTAATGGGGAAAAACAAAAAGAACATGTAGATTATTAAGATAATTGTCCAGCCGATGACTTGAAAGATCATGTTATCAATTAATGAGCAATCATAAAATAAAGCAATCCTTCACAGTAGCATAAGAGATTATAAGCAGGTAATTTACTACAATCGGTGAAGGAAATGAAACAATAACGAAAAACCATGCAGCTTCAATTATGGGGCAGCATCCATCACCTTTAACATTGAGTTCATAATTAGACTTAGCTATCAGGTGGATGGTGGCGAGTCCGGCTGAGGCGGAAGCTCAAATGGCGGAATAACCGCAACTGGCGGCGCTTCGGCTGGTTGGACTGGTGGTGCTGATATGAAGGGTTGTGGTAACATTGAACTTTCTGGTACATCAGGAACCAATGGTGGTGCCATGAAATTTTCTGGTGGTTGATCAGGAACCACCGGCGACGGCAGAAATGTTTCCGGCGGTTGATCAGGTATTACCGGTGATGGAAGAATACTGTTTGGTGGTTGATCAGGAATCACTGGTGATGGCAGAAAACTGTTTGGTGGTTGATCAGGAATCAACGGTGACGGCAGAAAATTGTCTGGTGGTTGATCAGGTATCACTGGCGGCTCGTCTGATGGCGGAAAAATGGGGACAAGTGGTGTAGCTGGAGGCAAATTTTGTTCCGGCGGCGGAAGAGTAAAGAATGGAGGTGGTGAAAATATGGGGACAAGTGGTGTAGCTGGGGGAAAATCTTGTTCTGGTGGAGAAAATATGGGGACAAGTGGAGTTTGCGGTGGAAAATCTGGTTGTTGAGGTGGTGGGAGGGGAATATTGGGTACTAAAGGTGGAGGAGAAAATAACGGAAAAGCTGGAGTGTCTGCGTTAGGAGGGGATAACCATGGGAAGACAGGTTCCTCCGGTGGAGGTGGCGAAGCAACTAGTGGTGGAGGAAATATTATGAAGGGAGGAGATTCTGGAGGAGGTGGAGATGGAACTAAAGGTGGTGGTGGAATTGGCGGCGGGGAAGAAGGTGGTGGTGGAGATGGAACTAACGGAGGAGGTGGTGAAACTGGAGGGGAGGCTGGTGGTGGTGAAGCTGGAGGAGAGGCTGATGGTGGTGATGGCGGAGGAGAAGAGACTACTGGTGGTGGTGATGGTGTTACAGCCGGTGGAGGAGAGGAGACAACTGGCGGAGGTGATGGCGTTACAAGCGGCGGAGGTGAAGGTGTTACAAGCGGCGGAGGTGATGGTGTTACT